ACACACACACACACACACACACACACACACACACACACATTCAGACGTGTGTGAATGCCTGTTTTTCAAGTTACTGGGTCTGGGATTCAAACTACATAGAAGGCCATGTGCGATTCACCACACCACATGCTGGTCCTACATATTGGGTTGACGGAGAAGTCATGATGCATTTTTGCGTAGAAAAACATGGAAAAATACATCATGACAGACCAGCAGATATCATAAAGGTTATATTGCTCTATTTCCATTTAGTCGACTGTGGTTTGAATCCCAGACTGGCAACCTAAAATATACACTGGGCATGTGTGCATGCATGCCCAAGACCCTAGAAGAGAATGGAGGAAATAGGATTGTGGCGTGGCCATCCCCTTGGGGGTGATTTCTCACTTTTTGTCTCTCTGTATTTCTCTGTCTCTCTGGTGAGCACACATGTCCTATAATAATAATCTCTCAGAAAAAAGAAAAATATATCATGACTTTCTCAACAACCGAATATATATATTTTTATTTTTTATTTATTTTTTTTATTTTTTATTATCATCATAATCTTCTTTGTATTACATTGGATTACATATAACTTTACAGTGTATTACATTGCTTTTTCAATAGGGAATGCCATGCAAGTCAGTCAGTACAAGGACATTAATCTCCCCGCTTCAACATTCAATATCTTTTCTATGTTTTCCCCAATTATTAACAACCTAATATATTTTTATGTAAAACAAATGCATTCCTGTTTTTGTCAATGAATCCCTTAAAACATATCCATTATCTGCTTGCCACTGCCCTGACTCAAGATAGCAAACAGGCCCTTAGTCAAAATGTACCCTTCAATGCCAGCTTCCTGCTGCAATGTCTGTAAGGGGCAGTGATCTACATCCTTGCTTCTCAGAGTGTGGTCCATAGACCAAAAGCATCTGCATTGCTGGAAAGTTTGTTACTCATGCAAATCCCTTAAAACATATCCATTATCTGCTTGCCACTGCCCTGACTCAAGATAGCAAACAGGCCCTTAGTCAAAATGTACCCTTCAATGCCAGCTTCCTGCTGCAATGTCTGTAAGGGGCAGTGATCTACATCCTTGCTTCTCAGAGTGTGGTCCATAGACCAAAAGCATCTGCATTGCTGGAAAGTTTGTTACTCATGCAGGACATCTGGTTGCATCTACTGAATCAGAATGTGCATTTTGCCAAATTTCCAATGGGTATTTCATAAGAATGGCATCAGCAAATGCATTGTGTCATGTCTGGTTTCATTCATTGTTTATTACTCAACATGTTTGCACCCCAGTTCCTTCTGCCTAAAGGACGTTTTTTCTTAAGGTTTTCTTCCATGGGACATGTCCACTCACCAGAGAGAGAGAGAGAGAGAGAGAGCACCCCCAAAGGGGATGGCCGCACTGCAGTCCCTTCTACTCCATTATCCTTCTGGAATTCTGGGCACACATGTCTGGCATGAGTTGCAAGCTGCCAGATCCAGGATTGGAACCACAGTTGACCATATGGGAGTCCAGTCCAGTGCCTTAACTACTATGCCACCTGCTGGCCTGTGCCGAGAGGACACTTACCTTGAAAACTCCAACTCCTTTTACAAGATTCATCTCCCTCCCTTTCAGATAGCCTCTTTTCTTGTGTATTTTTTTTCCTCTCAAATAACTGCCCCTAGGAAAAGCTGAACATTTGTCATTGCATTCAGTCTACATTATGTTGCCTAACACTCAGTATTATATTGATTTGAATTTTTTTTTGTTTTTGTCTACTCTTTGTCTTATCTCTTCCTTTATTTCACAACACAGTTGATGTCCAGCATAGAGTAGTTCCTGGTTATTATTGCCTCAGTGAATGGAGAAATGGATGTAAGAATAAATACATAATGACAAGACTTCAAGACTTTAAAGGGAAGTCATTAGTAATGGAAGAAAGGATCAAGGATATAGAAAGAAAGCTGAAGTGAGTGTGGAGGATACAAAGGAGGGACAAGCAAAACAAAAAGGACAGCTGATGGTACTGAATCAAAAACCATAGCAGAGAAGCCATATTAAATGTTAGGGGGACCAGCAGTTTGCATAATGGCTTTGTCACTGGACTCCCAGCTAGTTTGAGTCCTGGACCGGTGGCTTAAACTCATGCTGGGTATGTGTGTGTGCATGCCCAAGATCCCGAGAAGAGAATGGAGGAGAAGGGATTGAGGCGTGGCCATCCCCCCTGGGGGAGGTGATCTCTTGCTTTCTGTCTCTCTGTCTCTCTGGGTCTTTCT